CCAGTAGGTCCACAGGCTTTGCCATTTGGAAGTTTTGAAATGGTTGAGGTTACTTCTTCTATTGTAATAGGAGAGGATGTATTTGTTATTATTACACCTGATAAGCATCAATACATCCATTCAGTTCAAGATTTTTCTTCTTATTCGCATACTGGAAATTTTTTATCAAATGAAATTATCAAAATAATTGAAGAAATTGGTCCTAAAAAATTTGGAGCTGTTGTTTCTGATAGTGCCGCAGCAGTACAACTTGCAAAAAATCTTGTTGCTCAAAAATATCCTCATATTATACCAATTTGTTGTGTTGCTCATTATATTCAATTAATAGCAACAGATATTATTAAAAAAACTTCTTTTGGGTTACAAGTTCTTTCAAAATGTCAAGAACTTGTTACTTATTTTCAAAATTCACATATTTCTGGTGCGCAATTAAGAGATGAAATTACAAATTTACTTATTAAAGGTGGAGGTTTAAAATCATCAGTCAAAACTAGATGATCTTCTGTATGGGATTGTTGCGATTCAATTTTGAAATTAGAGCGTATTTTACGAAATGTATATTTTATTTTATGAGCGAATCTATTTGTCGCCGGCAGTGACAGTACCAGAGTGTGATCGACCAATTAGATCACAGAATCATGTGTAATGTGAAAAATGTAAAAACTTAGATTTTTTTAAAAAATTGCCGTTATCTCGAAATTTCATTTATGAAACCACATTTTTCATTCTAACAAAAAAAATTCCTTGCAAAATTTTACTATATACTATGACCTACCCGAATCATAACTATGACTCTAACCTGAACCCTAATGATAGTAAGTTTTGACGCTTTGTTTTTGTTTTGATTATAACGTATTTGTTGATCACATTCCGGTACTGTCACCACCGGCGACAAACACATTATTTCTTATTTTATTATTTATTGGAAATTTCTATTTTGATTCAGACTAATACTATAAAGTACCGTATACAAGATTCCCCCAAATAGTAAATCCACTATGAACTAAACCCAGGCACAAACTACAAAATTTATAGACTGCTTATTGTAAATACAAAGTGTGTATGCACTTTATATTTTTTTCTTTTTACAACATAACCTCTCAGCGTGTACTAGACCTGGGTCTACTATATAGTTTAAAAATTGGTAGAATGTAACAGACCCGGGTATTACATATGGCACTTTACAGTACTATTAATTTAAGCGAAATTAATTTTATAGATTATTGAGTAACTTTAATATGGATTAAAATAGAATTCTTATTTTTTATTTATTTATTAATCTATATATATATATATTTTTGTTTTTAGATTGTAGAAAACGATCCTCAGGCACTTAATGAAAAATTAAAAAACTATATTACAAGCCGTGAATTTTGGGCTAATATTGAATGTCTTCATAAAGTTCTTGAACCTGTTAAAACTGCTGTTAAAACCGTTGAATCATTAAAGGTTAAATTTGCTGATGTATTTCTAATTTTGATTAAAATGGCTATTACAATTAAGGCTATACCAATTATGAAAACAACTCTTGAAAGACTTGAATTTTGAAAAAGCTATATTGCTTTTTATAACAAAAAATAGACTGAATTCGATACTGACTTTTATTTGTTAGCTTATTTTCTTCACCCTAAATATCGTAGTAAGGGCTTGACATGTGAAGTATTTCAAAGGATTCTTCAGAAAGCTTTAAATATCTGGAAGTTACAAGGTGAAGGAGAAAATAGCGCACGAGAATTAGTTGCACAAATTCATAATTATGATCTTCAAAAGCCTCCATATGATTCTCTTTTTCAAGATCATCTTGAACTTCCAGAAACTTGGTGGAAAGCATGCAAACAACCATATCATCATCTTCAAAAACTTGCCTTGCTATTTCTCGCAATTACTCCTCATAATGCAGGGTGTGAGTGTGTTTTTTTAATTTTAAATTGGTTTACTCAAAAACGTCGAAATAGGTATGTATGTAAGGTTGTTAATAAAGAGCTTTAGACTATAATAAAGTATATAACCCACTTCTAGAGTACTCCAGAGTAGGTTATATATTTTATTATTAACTGAAGCACTTCATTAACGACCTATATGTATGTATGCTAATTGTAATATTAGTATATACTTTATTTTAATTTTTATACGTATTAATTTAATTTATTAGATTGACCATAAAAAAAGTTTCAAATATAGCCAAATTACATGCATATTATGTTACAAATGCACGCCATGAACTTAACTACGTTGGACAAAATCTTTCTGAAAGTAATTTTTTAAACATGATGCATGATTATACACATTCACTTACTTCAGGTACCATTATGTTTGAAGAAGACATTCAATCTGATTCTGAAGATGATTCTGAAATTAACTTAGAAGACTCTGTTACTAATGATTTATCTAAAGTCAATTCTAATACATTAAATATTGAAAATAGTGTTAATTTGGAATATACTTTGATTAATACAGATCAACCTATAATTCTAGATGAAGCTATTGATCACGATAAAAAAGATTTTGACATTGATGCACTTACTAATCAAGTAATGCAGATGTGAAATATGCCAACAGACAAAGAAAATTAGTTTTTAGTAGGTTTGATTGATCTAGTTTATTGATCAAATGTTAACTACAATTTAACCTTGTGATTTTATTTTAAGTATAGCGATAGTTTTATAAATTCTTATATGTACAAAGTTTTTAAAACATGAGAGCTATAATGCTTGCTTACAAAGTGCACAAATATGGTTTATTTTTTTTATAAATATGGAGTTAATAAACTATAAATATTCAATTCAAGGTTCTAAACAAAATAATGAATCAATACATCCTTTAAAATATTAATAAACTCTTACAATAATTTCAACTATTATAACTGTATATTAAAAATCTTATTTCCAAACATACATTAGCATTTACACAATTCTATTAAAATCGGCTAAATAACATTCATTATTTTGGTTCAATCTTCCAGTTCTAATTAGTTTTTCTAATGTAAAATAGTGTTTGGAACTGCAGCAGAGTAAACTCTTGATTTCAATTAGCATAACACAAGTTGGAATATTAGAACTTAGTGAATATGTTGTATCATTTTATTGTTATAACAATAAGTAACAATCACAATTTTTATTTTGTTTAATTATAATAAATGAACATCGTCATAGCGATAGTTATTAATTTCACCCAGGCGGATTGTCCTCATTTTGTGATATCTAATAAATATGTGTTGGCATATGGCAAATTATAACTTGTAACTAAGTAATGTAGAGATAATGATACAATTAATAAATTTCATGTTATATTAAATTCTTTTATGTATTTTTTAAAAATTCAATAAACATTCGAACATTGGTCAAACTTTTTTACTGATGCTTGAAACTCATCAATTTCAATCTCTTGTGACAGTACAAAAACAACTTGTACTATTATCGCTACATACAATTTACATGACTTATAAAAGCAACCTGTACTATTACTGCTACATTATTTAATATGCATTTACATGACTTATAATTTGCGATTTATATTATAAAAACAACCAAGTAATTAATCTTAGACATCAGGAATAGTAAAATCAATTGTTTTCATATTACACTTTAGAAATATGATTTTGCCAAATAACTTTGGCTTTAATAACGTTCTCTTCACATTCATAACATTTTCTGCATCTGAAAACAAGCGCTCACTTGATGTGCTTGTTGCAGGAATTGCAAAAAATTTTCAGGCCATTTACTTAAAATCAGAAATTGCCATTTTTGTAAAGACCACCACACCATGGGAACTCCTTCAGAGAGCAAGATAATTTGTAACTTCGTTATTATCTTGGATATGTAAGCTTGATAAAAAAAAACCAGATTTAATGAACCCTTTATGGTAAACTTGCTTTTCATTTTGATTAGTTATAGAAACTAATTTGGATATCGATGAAACACTTGTTTAGATAAATAGTGCCGCTCCTTAAATTCTGCATACATAGCATGTAGAGTTTCAACTTGATTTCGCTCTTATAATGTCAATTTAAAAAAAATTTATTAAATAAGATTTATGAAATTATTATTTACTAATCAATTAAAAATTTATCACTATCAAAGCATATAGTTAAATTTAATTTGACTGATTGAATGAAGTTTTTTCGATATTCGAAATTTTCGATCGATGTTCTAATAATTATTTACTGATTCCACTCTCTAGCATATAGCACACTTAGATATTATTAAATTAGTATCACAGAATAAGCACAACCTACCCTCACGATATTGCATGAGAAACCTTTGATTATCGAATCGTCAAACAATTATAGTATGCATTATTATAACCACGTCGAAATCTTTAATAATTATATTATCTAGTTTTAACAGTTGAATTTATTTTTGATAGTTAAACTAACTTTTAACTGTTGAATTAATTTCAACATTTGAATTAATTCAACTGCCGAAATTAATTTGACAGTCGAATTAATTTCGACAGTCAAATTAATTTTAACATTCGAATTAATTCAACTGTCAAAATTAATTTGACAGTCGAATTAATTTTGGCAGTCGAATTAATTTTTACAGTCAAATTAATTCAAAATGTTGAAATTAATTTCGGCAGTTAAAATTAATTTCAGCAGTTAAATTAGTTTCAACAGTTGAATTAATTTCAACTACTAAAAATAAATTCGGTTTCAACAGTCGAATTTTAATTTCAACTGTTGAAATATCAAAAATTAAAATTTAATTTCTCCCCCATCTATACCTGCCTCTGTTTATTTGAGATTAAGCTATTTAAGAATTATATATTTTTATTTGTAACTATTGCTAATCTAACCAAACTAGAGACTCACCCTGGCTTTTGTTCAGATGTAATCTGCTTTAGTAGTCCTTGGCCTCTCTCTGGATTCTTAATTTACTAAGAATTTATTTTCCTTTAGTCATTGGCTAGTAACTACTTGCTTTGTTAATACTATCTAATTATATTTATATTCTACAACGTAATTGTAGCTTTGGCTGTGACCAGTATTTGCAAACAATACAAGCATCAAATTGCTAATCTTAAAAATTATTACATTGTATATTCTCTATTCTATAAATTCTAAAAATTTTGCTACTACTTAATTTCTTTTGTGATCTTCTATAGTTACTCCAATTTATTTTTTTATACTTCATTTCTTTATTTTCTACTGGTAGTCTGCTCTGGCACTTCAGTTTTCTATTTTCTTTCTTCTTTTTGTGTTTTTTCTAGTTCCTAAGATTTGCTTTGCTCTTCTTGCTCTTAATAATATTCCTTATACAGATTTTTTTCAAAAGTATTTGTCTATATCTCTTTTCTTATTCTAGTTCCTTTAATGCTACTTTAGATTCTTTTACTTTTAGATCTTGGTTAGTTCATTTGAGTCTTTTTTTACTTTTTTGTCAAAACTTTGTGTTTTCTTTCTTTTCTCTACTTCATAGTCTTACATTTCTTCTAATAAGTGTCTTTCAGGATTTTGTATACTTATTTTTACTTTTTGGTCTTTCTGAAAACCTTCTTACTGTTTTAGATATGAAGTTTTTTTTTTCTCTTCCAATTCTTGTCTGTTTAGAACTGCATATCTGCTTTCTTTTTCTTATTCTATAAGCTTGCTTTTCTTTTATATGGCTTCTTTTGCAATTTAAAGTACTTCTCTTGATTTTCAGCTACTTTTTTTATAATTTTTTTTGCTATTCTAAACCTGGTGTCTTTCTTTTTTCTTTTTCAATTCTTAACTTCTATTGTTCTCTCTATTGCTGCATCTTGTATAGTATTTTCTTTATTTGTGTTGATGTTCATTAATGATCTAATTTGTTTACTCTATTCATCCAAGGTTTTTTTTTTTTTTCTAATCTTTAATATTATCTTGTCTACTTTTTAAGTTTACTTGATATATAAACTCTACTATCCACTTAAGTATTTCCTTTATAGATTTTTGAATTGTATATTGATAGAGTTTTCTTTTTTTATTAAGGTTATTGCCAGAATTTTTGATCTTGATTCTTCAGTTAGTTTGTTTAAAGTTTCTTTTCTGTGAGGTCTTCAATATCTCTTTCTGTGTTTCTTTTCTTCAATATTTTTAGTTTCTTTATGTTTTTGTTCTAGCAGCTTTGCTTTTTGTCGAATTTGTATCTTCTTTATTTTTTTTCTAATTTTATTTTCTCTTTTCTCTTCATATTGTTTTATTTTCATTAATTCTACTGATTTTCTAAAGTGCTATAATAATAGTTCTAATATTATTTTGTTATGCTGCTTTTGTTAGCACTTTTTCTGCTTATCTAGTTTTTTTATCTATCCTGTTTCTATTCTAACCCTTGTGTACTCAGCAACTATTCTTTCTTTATTACATACAAAAAGCTTTTCTCTTTTTGCTATATATAGATTTTTTATAGTACTGGTTACTTTGTCTAATAGGATATGTTCTGTTGGGTAGTTTTCTAACTTTATTGCCTCTTGATATGCTGTATTATTTCTTTTTCTGAATACAAGTTCTGTATATTTAATTCTTCTTGCTCTATATTGTCTCAATTCTATATATATTAGTTCTATTCGTTTCTTTGCTTGTTCTGCTATTGTAGATTTTGTTTTAGCATTTTCTATTGTTTTTTGCTTCACATAACTATTTTGTTATTATATTTGTATATCTTCTTTGTTTTTATCTATCACGTATTTTTTAGTATGTTTTCTTTGTTTATTTTTTATTACGTGTTATATATCTTGTATATAGCAACTGATCTGCATTACAGGATCAAGACCAATCGCCTAAATGACTTGCAAAGGGCAAATTATCGATGATTTTTCAAGTTTTTCTACTATATCTTTGCCGCTTCTATTTTATTTACTCAAATTTCTTAAAAAACTATGTATTATTTTTAGTCTTCTTGCTTTTTTCTTAGAGCTACAAGTCTTGTTTCTTATAGCTAGTTGTATGTTTTTGTCATTTTCTGTCTTGTTTTGTTTTTGTTTTTTTGTATACAAAAAATCAGCAGAGAGAGTTGTTAGTTTATAGTTATTTTATTGTATTTATATTATAATTAATATTTTAATTAATATTAAAAGACTAATTTAAAAAATTATACAACTCTTTCTAATGATCCTCTGGTCAACAAGTTCAAAAATCTGAACTACAGTCAGCATTATAGAAAACATCAAAGGATGATAATATACTTGGTCCTATACAAGTAGGTGTATTGTTGATGAAGTACCAAGAATATAAAACCGAGGAGCAGACTACTTTGGATGGTTTTTGTAAAGGTCAAACTTTCTTGTTAGTAGACTCCTCTATTATATTCACATCCAAACTAGAAAGATATTCTGAAAACACAGAACGACTAGGTCGATACTAAATATATTAAAAAAACTGAAGATAGTCTCTATACAACTATAAAACTTACAAGGAAGTACCTACAAAGTTTTGTTGGCTCACCACTTTTTTCAAGGAAATTTTGTCAAAAAGTAGCTATTTTAGCTTATCTCCTCTAAAAGATTAATACATAATTTTCTAAAACAGTCGGTATTGTTTATTTCTTAAATCAGGTTAATTATTTCCCAAAATGAGTTGTTTACT